TCTTTGAAACATGTAGCAAGATAAACTTCTACCTTCTACATCAGCCCTTTCTCTAATAAACCACTGTAGCTTCATATATACACATCCCTCTCCATGAGACACATAAAATCGTTTTCCTTGGCATTGCTAGCATAGACAAAGATACCTAACAAGAACAAACCTCCATGTTTTAAAATCCATGTATATGGAACAATGGGGGGTTACTTTCAACATCTAATCCGCTAGAAGCATGAATAAGATCGAATACATCTCCTAGCTAGGAAGAAAACCTATGATAAATATATCTACGGTCATGAAGTCATCACGTATGAACTTGGTAAAAAAAAATTGACAACATATGAAGTTGGTATTTAGAAAGAAAATATAAAAGACAATATTTCAGAAAATGACAAAGACAATATTTCAGAAAATGTCAACAAGAGTGAATTTCAACCATTTTCTAGACAAGTATATTTTTTCATAACATATTATATTCCTACGTCAGTTTTTATACAATTTTACACATCGTATAGATGTTATAAAACACGCGATTTTTTTTCGTACCACAATATATATTTTTCTATGTACAGATCTTATTTTCGGGCTGCCTCTCAGATTACTAGGCCGCACCTCATCAAGCGAATGTTGGGATAAAGATGGGCGGGACTTTTTCTCCTTTAGTATCGAAAATAATGATAATTAACGATGGAACCAAAACTTCAGTATGGGAGGTACAAACGGTTTAAATTATATTCTTTGTGTCTTATTTTTCTATCTTCACTTTTAGATTATGTTTCATAGTATTAATAGCATGGGAAATATAACTTTCAAAATTGCATGTCAAACGAATAGTACAAATTGAAACTAATTGATGGAAATCCCAAATATTTTCCTGCTTTGAACTTAGACAAGCCTTATTAGGATGCCTAAATTAGTACTATTGATGACCCGAAAAAAGGTCAAAGAACTACATGACTTAATCAGACGGACAAGTGAAGGACATTGGGCCATTAAGTAGAATAATGTCTAAATATCTATATGGTCTCGCTCGTGTGCATGTGTTCGTAAGAACTATGCCTGGACACAAGCGAGTACTTGGCTTGGCTTGTTCAAGTAACAAAAATTTAAGTTTGATATTTGACTGGTTCGAAACAAGTACTTGCTCAATCAAGTACTCGTCCAAAATCATGTGACTTACAAGTAACTTGACTCGGTTTGTTACTTGCCAAAATCATATATTTGTTACTTGAAACTACTTGAAAATAAAAAGAATCTCCATACAAATTACAAAACATTCAAAGTTCTTACAAAACATTTAAGTTCAAACATCCTAAAATCACAAAACATTCAAGTTCTAAATGAGAATTTGCCCATAGCTTCATGTATTAACAAGAAATTATTAACAAGTATCAAGGCAAATAATGTAAACGAGTCAAGTAGTAAAAACAATTTGTTGGCTTGATACTTGGCCCGAACTTGCAAGTAATAGAATATGTTGACTTGTTACTCGGCTTGACCGGGACAAGTACTTGTTTTTTCAAG